AAACCCCTCAGGCCCTGAAGGCTTCAACCAGCTTTAAATCATAAGCCGTGAAAGCAGGCGCGATGGATGGCAGGTGCTGCGGCCGTTGCCGTAAACAGTTCCCCGCGCCGGAATTCGGCGCTCTTTTGTCGGTCTTAGTTTTCTGAGAGGGTTGGGGCGTAAGAAGCACCATCTGGTGCTACAACACCCAGGCCTCGCGTGACGTAGGCTCACCTCTCTTGGGTTTACGGTTGCGCGCCCGCGATTCTAGTGGCACAGCCAACGTTCGCCGTGTCTTTCTGAAGTCCTGGATGTCTGCTTCCTTGCATCCCAAACGGTGAGAAGAATTCCCGCTAAACCTTTAAAGCCTGAAGCCTCGCACCCCACTCGATTCGGGGCAAGGATTTGCTTGGGCAGACAGGCACCCTCGTTCTTGCCTGTGGCATCCTCCTGGAATCAGACTCTACCCGTCTCCCAGCTCAGTGCAGCCCATCCGAATCCCTATGTTGCAGCTGTGTGTCACCGCTGTTCCTTTCCCGTTCAAACCGAGTCCCCCAAAAGTTGAGTCTTAGACATCCTGAAGATGCTTTCAGGACCCCTTCCACCCTAAACCCTCCCTACGAGCCCAAAGCTACAGCCCCACCTCGATCCCAAGACTCCCAATTGGCTAGTCCATGGAGGCGAGGGGATCCGCGATTTCGCGGGAAAGTGTTTCGATCCCAGAAGCGGTCAGGTCGTGCTAGGAGCCAGGCGGCTGCCTGGGTTTGGGGCTAACCTTAAGAACCCGAAACCCACTTTTTTGTGTAGGTGTAGGTCCTTATTATAAACCCTACTATGGGATTTATAGGGACCCTACAAAAAAGTAGGTTTTGGTTCTTAAGGAAGAGCTCCTCAGGTGTAGCATGACGGGTTAATGGTTCCCAGGGAATAGGGTTTAGGGTCACTGACGAGTTTAGGGCTCAGGAGGTTGAGGGTTCAGAGTATCCGAAACCTATGGACACAAACTGTTGAGGAGATGTTTTTGCGACCTGGTCAACCGTAATGAGCCCAAGGGCTGCAATGCTGTTCTCTGAGAGCCTAGGCTCTAGACCTCGATAAGCGCTCAATGCCAAGCCCTACAGCCAAGTCTCTGCAACCTAAAGTGCAAGCCCTTGACGGACGTCCGTCCAGCATGCTGCAGGCTGCCATGTTTCAATATGGGTTTCGCGATTGCGGCGAGAAACAGGTTTAGCCTGAAACCTGACGACCAACTACGTTCAAGTGGGACAGCCTTAGTCAGACCCAAACCGATTGAGCTTTTCAGATCGACTCCTTTTTCCCTGCCATAGAGACCAGAATTGGAAAATGTATGGTTAAAGCCGGCTACTTGAGACTTTTGGAAGATCGCCTCTGTAGTACGGAGGGCCCAAGACGGGCCTAGACGTAGATTGATTAACGTCGGAACTTGGAGCTGCCAATCTTTTGGCCTTTGGATTTCGTTTCGGGGTCATCAAGACGAGGTGTCTTGTCAGGGCTTGTGGTCATCACTGGCTTCACAATACTGTTCTGATGCTTGTGAGCATTCGTGCAACAACGGCAGCCGCCAACCGTAACCACAGACACCCAGCACACCAGCCCACAGCAGCCCACACCAGCCCACACCAGCCCACAATACCCTCGCCGCCGCCGCGACCAGCCGCGGCAGCAGCAGCAGCAGCAGCAGCAGCGGCAGCAGCGGCAGCAGCAGCAGCAGCACCACCGCCACCGCCACCACCACCACCACCACCAGCAGCAGCAGCACAACAGCAACGATCACTGAAGCGAATACTGGTACGCAGGACCATATTGTGTGAGACTTGAAACAGACTGTTTTCATAGCCCAAGCCGAAAGACCTTAAGGTCAGCTTCCAAGCTTCGAAAGCTTGTTTTCAACAGAATCGACTTATGAGAGTCGCTCTCGTAGGTGGTGCAGGGAGCCTGCCTCAAGATGAATGCACGTGTCAGATGTTTGTGTCGATTGCTATTTGGGTGCTCACGTATCCGCTGAGAATTAAATCAAGGCTGGTATAGAGATCGGTGTGGTGATTCAGAATGCCATCAATGCCATCACCCACAGTCAGCACCATCACTCTGCCACTGGAGTCAGTCATAGGTCTCGCTTCTTCACAGTTTTGTATTGGCCCCCGTTTTTGTCGTAGTGCTTCTTATCAATCTACTGCTACAGCTACTGCTGCTACTGCCTCTGTCAATGCCACTGCGACTGCTACGGCTGCTGCTACTGCTACTGCTGCTACTGCTACTGCCACTACTGCNNTGCTGCTGCCACTGCTGCTGCTACTGGCACTTCCAGGCAAGAGATTCAGGGGTTGCAGCAGTCTCAGCTGCTGTTGCCGTCCTCCGCATCGTATTGGCAGTAAGCAGTTGTAGCAAGTAGTAGTAGACAGTAGACCTGACTAGTAGCAGTAGGCAGCAGTAGCAGTCGAAGTAGGCAGTAGGCAGCAGTAGCAGTCGGCAGTAGTAGCAGTCGGCAGTAGTAGACAGCGGTACCAGTAGGCAGTAGAAGCAGTAGTCGCATCAGGAGAAGAAATGGGCGTGGGAGCATGAGAGTAGTAGAGCGCAGTAGTAGTAGTCGTCGTAGTCGTAGTCGTAGTCGTAGTCGTAGTCGTAGTCGTAATCGTAGTCGTAGTCGTAGTCGTAGTCGTAGT